AACACTCCTCCCGCGACGAGCATCGTTTGGAATTACGACGATGCGAGCTCCCATTTCGAAGATCGCTAATTAACGCGGCAATAGATCGACGTAGATTCGCATTTGCAAATAAATCGACGCGCGGAGCAAATACATACGCGCTCGCAAAAGCCGAGCACGCGGCAGTCCGACTTAAATCTTAATTACCGCGTCGCGTCGGCGAGCGTTCAATTAATTCGTCACAGCGCGACGCGACGGATCGATATAATTGATAGATGACGCCGTGTATATCGAATGCCAATCGATCATCGGCCACGATCGTTTCATTTATCACTCGCCGGATCCACGGGTGAATTTTCTCACGTTAAAAAACGCTCGGCGCCAAGTTCCTCAGAGCGAAAGATCGGTTTCGACGACAGGTCCGATCGATATCGAGAAATCGGAGGATCCCGGAGCGTCATCGTTGCTCGCTACCAGAGAAGAGAGCGGAAAAGAGAAAATGAGAGAGAGAGAGGAGCGAGTCGAGTGGAACGAGAAGCACGGCCATTAGGTTTATTTGCCATAATTGGGGGAGCTTTAACGCGGCAAACCAAACACTGGTTATAGCCGCCATAAACCTACCCACAATCACTTAGAGGTGGCGCACGGTACGCGCTTTTTCCTGTATTTAATCCGCGCGACCTGCGCGCTTCTGGTGCTGCGCGCGCGATTACGAGGACAACCAAGGCGAAAAGAACGAAACGGCCAGAATCGGTGCTGCCCGCAATTTCCTTGAGACCCTGCCCTCTTCCGTTCGTTTCCTCTGCCCTCGGTTTCTTGCGGCATATCCTTTTTGCGGCTCCGTTTTTCACCGGCCCCCTCGAAACGAGACGTTTCATCTCCGAAACGCGAACCCGCGCTTCGTTCCCGAACTAATTCGAAGTCGTTAAATTTAGTTCAATCGAAAAATGCGAAATCGGTCGTTTGGACGAGCATGGTAGCTTCGGCGTTGACCGCGCTGAGTTAGTTAGAATTTTGCGATCTTGGAAAGTTCAAGAAGAAACCCTTCGAGGCCTCCGATGGGTTTCAGAAATGGCCAAAAAACGAGCGACCGCCGGTAGCATTTATACGAACTCCTTAATATTTATAGTTGGCTCGCGGTCGAAATGCCGCGAAATGTACGAGGAAAAGCCGGGTGCCGACGATGCAGTTTCAAAACGGTGCAGCGGAGGGCTCTTCCGTCGGCGCGAACGTATGCCCGACGGCATCGAGAACCCGCCCCGTTCGTTAATAAAAGTAATTCGCGTGCTTGAAATTGCAAACACCTAAACGACTCGACGGTGGTAAATCAACGGTCGAAATACTTTTCGGAGCGCGTTCGATTTCCAAACGGTGTCGCGCCGAGCCGCGCCAAGCCGCGCCGGCTTTTTTCGCACGGCTTTTCGACGGAGGTCGAAAGTTGCGAAAGAACGCTGAGGTTGTCCGTTGTACTTAAATTTGTCAGTGAGCCCCAACTAATTGGCCGTGGTACCGTCGCTTTACGATCGCGAGGAAGAACCGTATCCTCGTCTGACACGAGATTCATGCCCGCAAAACACGGCGTTAACGAGCGACCCGGCAAGTCAGCGACGGATCCTCTCGCTCGCGCTTTTCGGAGACATCGACGCCTGCAGCTGCAGAGGCGAGCGCCTCGCCGCGTCTCGCCGCGCCGGCGACGCTATCGGCGCGGTGCGGCGTGCCGATGCGGCGCGGCATCGCACCGCCATGCGCCACTGTCGCGCGTCGACTCTCGGTTTCACTGCCAAATAAACTTCACCGCTGTACTCGTCCTTGTCATTCCGCTGCTAATTCACATTTTCGTTGATCATTCTTTAACGTTCCTACCGAGGGACAAATTCCTGCTGCTGGTTCGCAGTTTCATCGATCGTCCCTTAACGCTAACCGATCCATCACCGGTCAGATTACCGATTCGACCATTTTTGTTCTACAATTATCGAAATTATGAAGACACGTCCACCGGAAGCCGTTCAATAAATTTATTCGTCCCAACGTATTTTAATATAAAAATTGGAGAAAATCGAAACAAATTCGATACCGTAATTTTTACGAGACGTACGAGACATTTTTAACGTCCGTTACGATCGGCGACACGACGATTTCCGACCTTTATTCGTGCGGAGACGACAAATCTTGGTATAATATTTGAACGAGCGAAAACCCATGTTGCCGGGCGATAGAATTCGGCGCCGGTTCAACGTTCATCGTCGTCGTTTCGGGAGGCCCCGGGTGTGTATCGATGGAACAGGGGGCCCCCTGGTTTTGCGAAACGCGAGTAAACACCGCGCCGCGCCGGCTGTCGATCCATCTCCGGGGCTTCGAGGCCCCGGGGATGGTTTACGAGCGGAAACCGGCGCGGTTCCGAGCGGCACGAAGCGGCACGAAGCGGCACGAAGCGGCGCGGAGCGGTTTCGTGCGGCGCCGCGCGCAGCCCTTTTGTTCGGCCGCGTCTCACGAACGTGGGACTTACAAATTGGAATACAACGGGCCCGGAGTTAGGAGAATCGTTTCACGCTTCGCGGAGGCGCCAAGTGGAAGGCAAACACCGATAAAAACTGCATGAATAAAGCACTAATGGACGCTCTATGGACAGGGAATAAACATCGGGGAGTACATTGAACGACTATAGACTGGGTACAGGTGGCGACGACAGTCGATCACTGTTTTCCCTTCTTTTATTCGCAAGAATGCTCCCTAATCTCTCGATTTCGAGAACCTGGACGTTCTACGCTTTCACAGGAAAGTCCCGTTGACGCATTCGCGCAGCCGACTCGGCTGAGAGTGTTGCTCGAGAGAATTCTTTGTTAACACTTCGAGTGTCGCGTCTTCACGAAACGAACGGCGAATTCGTTTGTTCGGATTTAACCCGTTGCGCCGCCACGAATCTAGGAATCTGTTAAGAACGAAGAAGCGCCGATCACCGTAGATCGTAAAGGAAATCGTTGTCCGCGCAAGAGGGTACTTTCAACGCTGATCGCGTTTTCCGACCGTGCATGGAAATGGTGTAACATGCTCTTAAACGTCATTTTCAATTAAACGTATCGCAGAGTTACGGACGGAAGAGCTGGAAATAATCATAACGCGAGCACGTTTCTTGAAGCAACTGCTTTTTCGACGTCTTTCGCATAAAGAACGGCGAACGGACCCGCGGAACAATGGCGAATATACTTCGAGCGTGCAGCAGAAATTCCGGTAACGTTATCGTTTATTCGATCGCTACGTCGCAGCCGTTTGTAGCGGCATGCATTTTCATAAATAAATTCAGAGGCTCGGGAACCAAATCTTAAAATCTTGCATCGTTACCGCCGAAAAATTAGCGACGACCCGATGCTCCGCGAACTTTTATCAAATTCGTTCGCTATCCGATTCGAGCGTCCGTTCGAAATGAAACCATTATCGATCTATCGAGACAAATTCCAAACCGTGAATCTCGGATGACGCGTTAAAAAGTACCGAACGATCGACTATGGTTAACGGGGATCGTGTTCGTAAAGCGTTATGTACAAGCGTCGGAGAGTTTCGACGAAATCGGGCCCGGGAACCGATCGTCACCGTCGAACAACGGTTCCCCATGAAATCGTACGACGTATATTCGGGTTTCGGATATCGATCCCGTACACGCGGAACGTGTTCGGAAGCGATCGAGGCTCTTATCGGTGGGATAGCATTTCGCGTGAATCACCTGACGACGTTTAACGACATTCGGTAGCTAATTTGTCATACGGCCGAGGTGCACGTTGACACGCGTTGAAGCAATAACACGCGTCGCTGCAGTTAACGCGGCCGTCAGGCTGTGCTTTTAAACGCGAAATGCAATCAATCTCCCTAGAATCGGGGATCCCGATCGTACGGTCGCGCGCGCGCGCGCGTTCCGACATTCTAATTCCAGGCGGAACGCACGGGCGAGCTATCGCCGCGGAGATCCGAAGAGGAAACGCCGGAAAGCCCGGTGAAAATTTCATTCGGCGTCAAGATAAGAACCGCGGGATCTATTTCAAGCGGCTGACAGCCGCTCCGGTAAATGATATCCGCGAAGACGTTGTAAACCGTGGCGCCGATGTGTGCCGGCCACGCGATATATTGAGGATGTTAAACGATAAAATCGAATCAACGACAAGTTAATCCTTTTATCGGTCAGAGATCGCGTATCGCTGCCGCGGAGCCGATCAAACAGATCGACGATTTGCTCGCGACTTCCACGCACCGACCGGCGATTATCGCTGTTAGAATTTCCCGACGATCCCACGATTCCGGCCGGCTCTGTATACGTATCCGTTCGAAAGATCACACTGCGGAGCACCAAACGCTCGAACTCTATTCCCTAGCTTCGCGGTATTGTTCGCACGTGAATCACCGTACTATTATCGGAATCGGACGTAAGGGTCACCGACCCTGCACTCTTTCCGGAATCTTCTGGATTGCCATAGTCGCGCCGCGAGCGAGTTCCAAAACCGATTTCGCGGCGGATCGAGACGAACCGAACCCGTTCCGAAACGCGGACGGCGCCTGACACCGAAACGCGTCGAATCGCGTCCCGTCGCGTCGGGATCGGAGACGCAACCCCGTGATTCACCGACGGTCTCCTCTCCAAGGACGACCGTCGCTATCGCAGGTTGACACACGATATTATCAACGACCGAAAGTGACGAATCTGAGCATCGGTTATCGCAGGTCCACGTAGGTTCTTCGGGAAGCCATAAAGTCTGGGGCCCGAGCGCATTTTTCCGTTGCAAGATTACACCGTGCGAGTATCGCGTTCCGGACAATCCGGACGCGCGCAATCTTACAAGTGTGCGACGGGCTACGAAATTGGAATGGCGACGCGCGCGGTGCATGGGAGCCCGAGAGTCGGCACGATCGGCGAACGAATCCGAAAAATCGGCCGAGCCATTTTCGCGGACGCGTCGCCGCCTCGCCTCGGAAAAGGTCCGCGCCAACTCCGGAGTTCCCCGAGGACGGAGTATATATCGAAAGGATTGGTTCACCTGTGTCATGAGGCGATCCGCGCCGGTGCCCTCCTCGTCCTTGAAGATGATGTCGGTGTTGTAGTTGGGGACCAGGTCCCGGAACCTGGAGTCGTGCCTGGACACGCGGCCCTCGCTGAGCCCGCTGGCCGGGAGCGTGTTCTCGCTGACGTTCGGCACATGCTGCTTGAACACCAAGGGTGTCAGCTTCCTGAGGGGCGGTCTTCGGCCGCCACCCCTGCCCGGGCCGCAAGCCAACACCAGGCCGCCGCCGTTGTCCAGCACCGGCAGCCAGAGGCCGAGTATCAGCAGCAACACCTGGAGCAGCGAAGGTGCGGTGCCTCGTCTCCTGAGGACGCAGTGGTGGCTCGCCTGATGGCCGCGGCGACGATGATGCTGCACCATAATCGCGTGGCTCTGGCAAAGGGTAGAACCCCGGCCGCCTGGTCACTGCGCGGCGATCCTCGTGCACGTTGCTGCGGCCGTCGACGCCGACGGTACCACCGAGTATTCACCACCACCACCACCGCCGCCTGCGGTCCTCCTTCTCCACGTTGCTCGCCCGAGGAACGACGACGACGACGACGAAGTTGAAGTCGAAGACGAAGACCACGATGACGACGACGACGACGACGAAGAGTTGCCTCCTCCGCCAGTTCTCCTCCTCCGCTTGCCACTGACCTCACTCACGCTTAACCATAACCAGGGCATCACACACACCCCCAGCACCGCACTCTTATCACCGTTGGGACCGTCGTAGCTGCGTCGTAGTCGATCGACACCCGCGAGACAGCTATCAACCCGGCAGATCCCTATCGTTCGGAACCGACCGGCACCGATACGTTCGCCGCACTGGGAGTACAACAACCTCCGAACCAGAGAGACCCTCTCTCTCTCGCTCTCTCTATTCCTCGCTCGATCTTATCAGAGTCGTTGAAATACCAACAGCAGATTACGCTTTATCGAGGTCTCCTCGTAATAAGCGTGTCACAGCGCGGAAACACCGGGGAGAACACCGAATCCTTGCGATCGGACAGCTTTCCTACATATTTAACTAAGGGGTGGGAATCCGCAGCCGCGACCGCATCCACATTCGCATCCGCATCCGCATCCGCAACCGCATCCGTATCCACATCCGCGCGCGGCAGTGTCGCACGTTCCTATTCTCCTTCCACCGGGAGGACACTGTGCGTGCGCGTCTCCGTTCTCTCCGTGTCGCGGCCGCGAACCGTCGCGTCGCGTCGCGCGTCGCGCCTCGTGCCTCGCGCCTCGCGTGGAAACGCGGCGGATCGGAACCTCTCGTCGAACCCGGACCCCGGACCCCGGGGTTCGTCCTGAGGAGAAAGAGAAAGAGAAAGAGCGCGAGCGCGAGCGCACCGAGCCGAGTAGTCGCGGAGAGGTGTCACCGCGATCGGACCTGACTCACTTGACTGAACCCGATATTGCGAGCGCGGTCCGGAAGCTCCGTGGCGCACGTTTTCCGGACGAGTCGGTGGTGGGAAATGCGTGACGGGTTTCGGTGGGTACCCCTGGCGTCGTCCGTTCGGCCTGGCCTGGCCTGGCCGGGTCCAGGGTGCCCCTCTTCCTGCCCCCACCAAAACCTGGCCAACGGCCGGCCTGGCGCTGGCTGCAGCAGGCTGCTGGCCCCCGTGGGGCTCTCGGCTCTCGGCTCTCGGCCCTCGGCTCTCGGCCCTCGGCTCTCGGCTCTCACGGCCTCCGAGGCGTTGCGTTGGTGGTGGACGATCCTGCCCCCACCACTCGGGCCCTGCCGTGCTTGGTGCACAGGGCTGACGTCATCGGGCCCCGAGAGACACCATTGGTCGGGGCGGAGCGTGCGCTGGGTGAACGAGGACAGGTGCACGCCGCGTAGACCCGCGGACCCCGCGCGATCCCGTTGGATGAAGCAGGAGCCAGCGCGTGGCACAAGGGAGCGAGCATGAAAACCTTTTAGCTTTCTCCTCGTTCGATTCGGTTTCGATCAACCTCCCCGGACCGTCTCGCTCGCTCGCTCGCTCTCTCTCTCTCTCTCCCTTTCCCGACGTCTCATCGGCTTCTTTACCGTCTCCTCTCCTCTCCTCTCCGTCCTCTTCCTTTTACGTGTTCGACGATCCCCCACCTCCTCCGCCTCTCTCGATTGATCCTTCCTGTTCGTCGTTTTCGTTGTCGTCGTTACAACGTTTTACCTTGTTGCTGCCTGTCCTTCTTCTCCCGCGGGATATCGTTTCCTCGTTCAACCTCGTGGATCCTTACGCCAAGTACCTGCGCTCCGGGACCGCGACGGGAGAAGAGAAGATTCTCAATGACTGTCTACCCCCAAGCCGAGCCCGCGTACCCTAGGCTCGGGGAGACGTGGGGTGGGCTGACCTTGACTTCGGCACCCGTCAAGTTTCGCTCTTCTTTACGATTTTGCTTTTTCCTCTCTCTCTTTCTTTCTCTTTCTCTCTCTCTCTCTCTCTCTCTCNCGCGGGATATCGTTTCCTCGTTCAACCTCGTGGATCCTTACGCCAAGTACCTGCGCTCCGGGACCGCGACGGGAGAAGAGAAGATTCTCAATGACTGTCTACCCCCAAGCCGAGCCCGCGTACCCTAGGCTCGGGGAGACGTGGGGTGGGCTGACCTTGACTTCGGCACCCGTCAAGTTTCGCTCTTCTTTACGATTTTGCTTTTTCCTCTCTCTCTTTCTTTCTCTTTCTCTCTCTCTCTCTCTCTCTCTCTCTCGCCGGTCTTCTTACTCGATTACCCCCTCTCCGCGACTCTTTTATCGCATTCCTGCGCCGCGTCGGGAGTCCCGAGGATTTTATTAAATGTTACAATGTGGCCCGCGAGCCTCCAGAACCGGCGCGGCGCGCCGTTTCCTTCCTTTCCCATGGTGACCGGTCATCGTTGAACTTTAAAGGGCAGGCGCCGCTCCGCGCCGCTTCGCTCCGGGTCCGCGAGATTTAATCGTTCCGCGAATCGCCCGATCGGGAACGATACTCCGGGAAACGTAACGACGATGGAATGCGCGCGCATCCGATCCGATCGACCCACTCCGAAACCTCCGATCGTTATTTCGAAGTAGCGCCGGGCTTTATCGATCCGCCAGGTGATTATCCCGACCGCGAGGCGCCTCGATCGTCGACGATAAAACGCGTAGGCGTGCTCGACCGTCCGCTCGATTCCCGGCGCGGACGAAACCGACGCGATCAAACGTCGCCAGCCGGCGGTCGCAACTACGGGCCGACTGATAGGAAAGTCCGCAGCCTCCCGAAGGAACGCGGGAGGGGATCGAGAAAGAAGACCGCGGCCTGCCGAACTGCTCGCCGTTTCACCGATAATAAACAACTTTTGCGAACGCTGTGCCCGGCCGTTTCCGCCTCCGTTGTCCACACGTACAGATTTACGGCATAAACAATGCCGCCACGCCTCCGGATTCCGCGAACCCTTCGAATCGCGCGCGCGAAAAGAAAAGATTCTTCTTCTTCTACTTCTTCGTAATGACTCGGGAATTCGTGGCGCTCCGGTCTCGGAGGGTTTTGAATTCGATGACGCGCGGAGTCGAGGTAAACCCTTGGTGGTAACGTTGAGTCACTTTTCCGGCGGATCCAATTAAACGTGTCTTCTTTTTAGAACGAATCGGAGATGAAAATAGATTTCGATCGCGCGAGACGGAAAAGAAATAATCGACGCGGTCGCGGTTTAATAATATCCTGTCACGATCTGTCACCTGTCCCATCGAACGCGTTTGGATCAATAAAGAACGCGTAAATCGGGTAATTCTATTTAAAACTCTCCGCTCTCGACGCTGCAATTTAATCGATATCGCCAACAAACGCTTCGACAACGTGATTTTGCACGCGTCTCGAGTACATTGTTATTCTGTCATCCATACCGTTTTAATCCTCTCGCTCGTATTTCACAGAACTCCGATATCGTAAAAATATTTTACGATTATTATCGCGATACGACGCGGCCGAGTCCTCGTTTACGAAACCTATGACAGATAACTNCGCTCTCTCTCTCTCTCTCCCTTTCCCGACGTCTCATCGGCTTCTTTACCGTCTCCTCTCCTCTCCTCTCCGTCCTCTTCCTTTTACGTGTTCGACGATCCCCCACCTCCTCCGCCTCTCTCGATTGATCCTTCCTGTTCGTCGTTTTCGTTGTCGTCGTTACAACGTTTTACCTTGTTGCTGCCTGTCCTTCTTCTCCCGCGGGATATCGTTTCCTCGTTCAACCTCGTGGATCCTTACGCCAAGTACCTGCGCTCCGGGACCGCGACGGGAGAAGAGAAGATTCTCAATGACTGTCTACCCCCAAGCCGAGCCCGCGTACCCTAGGCTCGGGGAGACGTGGGGTGGGCTGACCTTGACTTCGGCACCCGTCAAGTTTCGCTCTTCTTTACGATTTTGCTTTTTCCTCTCTCTCTTTCTTTCTCTTTCTCTCTCTCTCTCTCTCTCTCTCTCTCGCCGGTCTTCTTACTCGATTACCCCCTCTCCGCGACTCTTTTATCGCATTCCTGCGCCGCGTCGGGAGTCCCGAGGATTTTATTAAATGTTACAATGTGGCCCGCGAGCCTCCAGAACCGGCGCGGCGCGCCGTTTCCTTCCTTTCCCATGGTGACCGGTCATCGTTGAACTTTAAAGGGCAGGCGCCGCTCCGCGCCGCTTCGCTCCGGGTCCGCGAGATTTAATCGTTCCGCGAATCGCCCGATCGGGAACGATACTCCGGGAAACGTAACGACGATGGAATGCGCGCGCATCCGATCCGATCGACCCACTCCGAAACCTCCGATCGTTATTTCGAAGTAGCGCCGGGCTTTATCGATCCGCCAGGTGATTATCCCGACCGCGAGGCGCCTCGATCGTCGACGATAAAACGCGTAGGCGTGCTCGACCGTCCGCTCGATTCCCGGCGCGGACGAAACCGACGCGATCAAACGTCGCCAGCCGGCGGTCGCAACTACGGGCCGACTGATAGGAAAGTCCGCAGCCTCCCGAAGGAACGCGGGAGGGGATCGAGAAAGAAGACCGCGGCCTGCCGAACTGCTCGCCGTTTCACCGATAATAAACAACTTTTGCGAACGCTGTGCCCGGCCGTTTCCGCCTCCGTTGTCCACACGTACAGATTTACGGCATAAACAATGCCGCCACGCCTCCGGATTCCGCGAACCCTTCGAATCGCGCGCGCGAAAAGAAAAGATTCTTCTTCTTCTACTTCTTCGTAATGACTCGGGAATTCGTGGCGCTCCGGTCTCGGAGGGTTTTGAATTCGATGACGCGCGGAGTCGAGGTAAACCCTTGGTGGTAACGTTGAGTCACTTTTCCGGCGGATCCAATTAAACGTGTCTTCTTTTTAGAACGAATCGGAGATGAAAATAGATTTCGATCGCGCGAGACGGAAAAGAAATAATCGACGCGGTCGCGGTTTAATAATATCCTGTCACGATCTGTCACCTGTCCCATCGAACGCGTTTGGATCAATAAAGAACGCGTAAATCGGGTAATTCTATTTAAAACTCTCCGCTCTCGACGCTGCAATTTAATCGATATCGCCAACAAACGCTTCGACAACGTGATTTTGCACGCGTCTCGAGTACATTGTTATTCTGTCATCCATACCGTTTTAATCCTCTCGCTCGTATTTCACAGAACTCCGATATCGTAAAAATATTTTACGATTATTATCGCGATACGACGCGGCCGAGTCCTCGTTTACGAAACCTATGACAGATAACTTTCTCTGTCAAACTCGAAATTAATACGAAATTATTGTGCCATCGCTCCTTCGAAATCCATAAAACATAAGCGGACGGAGCTCGAACGAAACCAGAATTCGAGTTTTCCACGAGCGGCTCGATTCTCGGAGTCGATGGTAGTCGAAGTTCGAGGGAGCAGAAATATCGGAGATCGTTCGCGTGTGTCTAGATAAAAACGGTGTTCGCCGTACAAAACCGGAATGCGGCAAGGAACGGTCTCAGCGACAAGGATAACAATTGTACGTCCGAACGTCTCCGTCCGATCCTAGGAAGGTTTAATCCTTGGCGAAAGCCATTTGCCTCCAAATGGTTTAGACATCGATACGCAAAAAGCGTTTGCAGACTCGACCGATTCAATTCGAAAGAATTCCGAAATTTCCTGATCGGCGAACGAGGTCCGAGGGGGACACGCCGCGCCGCGCCGCGCCGCCGAGCAGAAGGGGGACGGAAATCTCGCGGACGGAGGGAGCAGGGATCGAAAAGGCGGTCGGAGAGGGAACGATAATCGATAAGCGAAAGATTTCTCGCGTTTTAAGCGTTCACACCGTAGACGGCTACGCGTCGCGACGGTGTTACACGCGATGGCAACGCCGCGCTATTACTTGCACCTCGATAGCGGAATTTTATTTCCGCTCCGCGCCACCGCAGCTGCCACAAAAGTCAAAGTGCCTCGTAACAGGATTATGAAATGTTCCGGAGTAGCGTTCCGCGGATGTTTACAGCTCGCAAATACTCGTTATCTTTTATTGCCCGCCGGCCTGTTTCAGCGATTCTGGCATCGGCATCGTTAACGAGCGACGTTTATACCCGCCATTGGTCCGTAACTCTCCCCCTTTTTGCGTACTACGCATGGACCATAATGTAACCATTGTTTCTGCGCGCGGGTCGGGACTCGCGACGTCCACGCCGAAACTTACGCCTCGGCGAGGACACTCCTCGATCCTCGGGATCCTCTCTCGCCTCGGATCGAAACGGATCCGAGCTCTTCGCATACTGGTTTTACCGTCGCGCCGGTGCGAATATAATCGGGAACGCGCTCCTGCGACGCGCCGTCGTAAAGCGGACAGGTGATACTCGGACGTGGGAATCTTTACGCCGCGCGCAAATTTCCGAAGTCGATCGCGCGGAGCGGGAGAAGTCCGTCGACATTGTGCTCGGGGTTCTTCCGATTGAATCGTGGATCTCCGCGCGGACGATAAAAATTGTCCGCGTCTACATCGGAACACGTGGGTGGAGAAAAGTGCGACGAGTCGCGTTTACTCGTCGCGACGTCGCGGGATCGTGTGCCCGACCGTAGGTGAAGAGTGCTCGGACCGCGGGCAGGATCGCCGCGGCAGCCACCATTGCCGAGTAGCTCGTCTCCGGGTGTCCCTTTTTCAAAGTAACACGATCCACGGAGAGGAACTTCGAGGAGGTAATGCCGGGGCCGGATAGAGGTCCGACGAGGCCCCCTCCGCGTAATGGACGGCTCAAATATTTATCATCGGCCGCGTAATTTAAGGTGCGTTTAGCAAACGGAAGACGACGCGAGGGAAAACAAACAAGTCAGGGGCGGTGTAGGATCGCCGGCAAGGTGGAGAATGGGACGTAGAAGGAGGAGGAGGAGGAGGAGGAGGAGGTGGTGGACGCGGTGGACGTGGAGGTGGAGGTGGAGGGCGGAGGAGCCAAAGGGTGAGGAAGAGGTGGATGCGGAGAAGAGAAGGAGGATGCCGGAGGA